TTATTATACATTACATATAAATTATGAATTATTAAATAATGTTTATGTGTGTGTGTGTATACNTTTTAAATCATATACATTTCTATAATTTAAAATATATAGAAATTATAATGTAATACATTATATAAAAATATTGTATATCTATCTTGGATACCCCTTTATTTGTTAAACAAATATATAGTGAAAACTTTTTTAATGAATTGCATCCATTAAAAATTCTAATCAAGTGATTAGATTAAAGAGTGACTTTAACTTTGGTCCCTAAGGTTTGGCAAAATCATTGAAAGTAGGACCTTAACTTTGATAAGTATAGAAATAATTCTTGTGGTTTTCATTTTAGTCTGAAAGTGGTAATTAGTAGATAATTCCGTGTATTATGTCCGTTAGAGCGAGGGGTATTTTCCATCCAATTCTTGTTTTGTGCCTTTTTTGCACTTTTTTTTTCTTATTTATATAAAAAACATCAAATTGTAGGGACCTGTCACCTAACTAACTCTAACAGGACCATCATTCCTCAGCTTTTGAGGTGATGGTAGCACTCTTACAATGGATCTAGTGACTTTTTGGTCACAACTCACCCATTTACTTCTACTATAGATTAAAGAATATGAGTTAAAGGTTTCAAATATAACATAGAAAAGTTCTAAACCAATTTACCCCAAGAGATTCATTGGAGCTGAGCCAGTACCGGTGAAAATCAATGTCATCGCCACCTTTTTCAGCATATGCTTTCTTTGATAGTGGCTTGTGCTTAGTTTTGGGTATGTTCAATGTACGATTCTTTCGTGGCAAAATGCTACGTTTGGGATCCTCTTAATCACGTATGGTTTAGAAACAAAAGTTTATATTCGTTTTGGGAGCAACCTACATCTGATTTATGATTATTATAGTAGTAATAGTAGTCAACATTGTCTTCATAAGGAGAGCCTCTGGTGCAATTTGCATATGCTAGCGTTCCGTAGCTAAATGATATTCTAAAAGTAGAATCATCATTCTCTTTACTTTCGTTTGATTCACCTTCTTCAGATTTATCAAGTGATCTTGAGTCAAATGGTAGGTAAATCGCCCTCCTCACTCATACTGTTGTGATCATCCTCACAAGAAGTTTTCTTTCCTCACCTAATTGATACATACTCCATAAAGATCCTAACTTTTTTTAATCCAGCTTTGAGTGCAGAAAGTTCTTCTTTCTCTCTATTTCTGATGTTTGACTTTGACTCTGCGTAGGTTCTGTTGATTCTTGATCAGCACTCAACTCCATTTAACTAAGTCGTATCTGCATAACAACCCTCAAGATAAAATCCATGAAACTGCAATGTTTTCTTTCTTAAAAAGTTTCAAAGTTAAGTTTACCTATTTTCGCATTACAAACTTCACACACAAATGATAGTTTTGATTTAGATCCACAAGATTCTTGATTTAGATGTGTAATATATATATATATATATATATATATATATATATATATATATATATATATATATATATATATATATATATATATATATATATATATATAGGGTCAAGTTCAAATGTTAACCAAAGTTTTTGTGTTAACTTTGTTAACCGATCTTGGCCATTCAATCTTTCAATAAACAGTTGTGATTAATCATGATAAAAACTTATTTTTTTAATTTTAAAATTTCATAAAGATAAGTGAACAAAGTTGAAAAGGATATTTAAGTAATTTTTTTATGTAACTCCCATATCATTAATTGGGAGTTACAAAATCAAAAAATTATATGATTTTTGTTAATGTAAAACCATATGAACACAACTATATACATATGAACCATTGTGTCAAATATGAACAAAAAATCGACATATATATGAACTTTGGCTGCATATCATTTATAAACACAATATGAACATAATAAGAATAACTGGTATACGAAAGGAAATAAATAAAAAAACATGTATGAACACGATATGAACAGCTTGTGAACAATAGTTCATTCATTATAAACATATTCAGGAGCGATCATTTGTCAATTGGAGTTTTATACATGCATTGCATCCACGCCGTTTAAGGTTCACCCCACCCCTTGTTCATATCGTGTTCACCCTTGTTCATATCGTATAAAATATATGAACACAAAATCCCGACGCTATGAACACCGGATGCAAACACTTACACAAATATAAAGATTTGGTATCAAGCTTAATGAATAACACTTGTGTTCATATGATAGAAGTAACATGAAAACGATGRTTTATGATTCATACAAGTCGGTAATATGACAATATGAAAATGAGTCGTGCATGTACTTCCATTTGAACATGTGAATTAGATACGTATTAATAATTAAAGAAAAAAGTTATCAACACAATATGAACTACAAGAAACACAACGCATCATAATAAACATAATTTTGATTAAAACGAGTTTAATAAAATATTAATCCATTACCAAGACATTCGCTTTGGTTAATTTCTTCACTTCCCGAACTCGAACTTCGATTGTCACCATAAACCATTTTAATCTTCTCAATGTTGTCGATTTTTTTTCAATGTGTTTATCCATAATAGCTTGAACGATACCGAAGATTTTACTACCGTGTTTCCTCCACGAATCAAAAACTCATAAAACAATAAAAATGGAAGATCAAGAATAAAAAAATAAATAAAAATATCAATATTATAAATGTATATTTTTAGGAATTTTATGATTTTGTATCTCCTCTTTAATGGTATGGGAGTTAGATAGCAAATGAAATGACTCAATTACCCTTGACATTAAATTGTGAACATGATAGATACCTAATAGAAGTGGTTTGCAAAGTTAACACAAAAATTTTGGTTAACATTTGATCTTGTCCCTATATATATATATATATATGTGGTTGGGTTCCAATGAGAAAGAGAGTTAAAGTGAGAAATGTAAGAAGGGATCTCCACCCTTGGATACACATTAGGATGAAATACACCGAGATGCATTAGATCAATCCCCATATTAATCACGATTCATGGGTGAGTTTTAGATTAAATGTAATCAAGCGTCCAAATCCTTTTTTGTACCCGTGATACCACTATTTTCCACTTGAAACTTCACAGTAAAACACTGTAAAAGTAACATTCACAATGATCTTGTTGTGAAAGTTCAGATTTTTTTTACTTTCACGATATTTTTTTGTGAAATTTCAAGTGTAAAAATGTGGTCTCATAGGTTTCACGAAAAAAGGTTGGTCTCATGTGAACCCGACCCTATATATGTGTTTGTGTGTGTTAGAGTTAATTACGTAACAAGTCTCTATAATTTGATGGTTTTTGTATATGAAAGAACAAAAAGAAAAGTGCAAAAGGAGGAACAAAACATGGTTGGATGAATATACCCCTGGCTCTAACGGACATAATAAACGGAGTTAGTGACCAGGAACCACTTTCAGAGCAAAACAAGAACTACAAACACTATTTCTAGACTTATTTAGAGTTTACCCTAAATTAAACTAATGACAATGTTGTAATATTTGTTGATGAAACGCACGTTCATTTTGGGAATCATATATAAACAAAGGGTATTTTCATAAAATTGTAGAATAAGCTGGTTTAGGAAATGTATGTTCGTTTTAGGATGTTGTATATTCATACATATTCACAAATAAACACCGTTGTAAGAGGTTCACATATGAACCTATGTAAGAGATTCATGTAGAAACATGTTCACATATAAACAGACTTTAAATGTACAATGAATGCAATCCTGATCATAATGTTCACATATGAAGAAGATTTATATATCTCGATTCACTTATAAACATAAAGAACATAAATTACTGCCATAATCATCATTAATAGCTGCCATAATATGGTTATTTTAATAGTTTTATCTCATCATTTTCTAATCCACAAACATTATTATACATCCCATCTAACGTATATATCAAACACTGCCCCTGCCTGTTTGTTTTTTTCAAAATTGCTTCTTAATACCTCTAAAATTTGATTTATTCATATGTTTGAGTATTAAGATCGTTTGTTTTTAAAATAAAAATAAAAATAAGAGCTTAAAAGCTCTAAATGTTCTCTGAAAATTTAAGTGTTAAACGTATCTTTTAATCCTAATCCGACTTCAATCAAATGGTTCATATTTTGGGGCCGGAAGAGATTTGTTAGCAAAAACTATATATATTTTATACTTTTATACTAGTTTAATCAATTCAAATTACAGACATAAAAACAAACAACACCACATTTTATAAATCAAAAGTAAAATCGGACTTTAAAATTCAATAACTTTTAACTTATATGTATTGGGCCATACACAGTTTTAGCTCAAGTACAAACCAAGCCCATACGATAGAATTGCTTTTTGGCCCATATGATCATCCCCTCTCTCTCTTTTTTAACGAATTAACAAAATTTCATTTAAAATGTAGTTGGACAAAATTGATTTCAAATGCTATTCCGAAAATTTAACCATTATTAGAAAGTTATTAATACATGTAAAATTCAAAATTCCAAATTTTAGTGTAAATTTAGAAGGACTCAGGTTTAAATTTAAGAAGGAATAAAAATCTCTTTATGGCTACGGAGGTTCAAATGCGACGACTCCGGATCATCTACAAAGCATGTGATCGTTCTGAGGTTAGTCGACTCGTATAGCGGGTTGGATATCCAGGTTAATAAAAAAAAATTAAGTGTAAATCAACGTATATCAGTCATATTTATTTTGTAAATTAATATATAAAAGATTTCATAATGTTAAATATATAACAGATTATAAATACTTAATTAAATATCACAATTTTTTTGAGATAAAATTAGGTTTGGTTGCAAGAAGTTGGTTTATTGAAAAATTATAAAGATAAAATAAAAACATAAAAATAAGAATGGATAAGTTAAATTATTTACTAATAAAAGATCCTTTAAAACAAAACCCTAGGTTCCACTGTAAGAACAAATCCCGCAAGAAAATCCGATCTGTGCCGTCAGCTCCCTTAATCCAACGGTCCACATCACCCCCCTGCTCGTGCTTATCACTCCCTTCATTTAGCTTCCTTTCACTCTTCTTCCCTTACAAATTACAAACCCTTTCCATCCATTCTTCCGGTCACTGAAAATGGCGAAAACTAATTGTTGGATATCGATCGACTGCCCAGATTTTTAATTTTGAATCTGCCGATCTTTAAATCTTAATTTCGAGTTAATTTACGCACACAGTTGAGTTGGAGAGGAAAGATGCAGTCGTTCAAATTGGTGAAAGAAGCTGTTTATTTTATTAGATTATCATGAAATTAAGTTAATTTTGAGCTCAAAAGTTGTAAAGATTGTATTTTTGTTAGATTTGGTGAAAAAGTTTTGATTTTTTATAAAGCAAATGTTGCGATGATCACTGATAGTTATTCGAAGATGATGTCCGATATTGGAATGCGATCGATGGTTTCAAACAACGAGGAGTTAGGGTTGTTGATGAGGGAGAAGCGGAGACAAGAGGTTGCTGGTAACACTAACATGACGAGTAGCAGTGATCGAGAAATGGAGCTTAATATGTACCGTAGTGGTTCAGCTCCGCCCACGGTGGAAGGATCCTTGAATGCGGTTGCCGGATTGTTTGACGGTGGTGGAAATGGTCTGTCGGCGGAGTTTGGCGGCATTTCGGAGGAAGAGTTGAGGTCTGATCCGGCTTACCTCTCGTATTACTATGCCAATGTGAATCTGAACCCACGCCTCCCGCCGCCGCTGTTGTCCAAGGAGGATTGGCGGTTTTCTCAGCGACTGCACAGCGGCGGCGGTGGTGGAAACGGCAGTTCTGCTATTGGGGACCGGAGGAACATGAATAGAGATGATGACAATAATACCAGGTCATTATTCGCCACTCAACTGGGGTTTACTGGAAACAAAGCAGAGAATACTGGACTCACTGAGTCAAGGAAGCCTCAGGGCGGTGGCAGCACAGCGGAGTGGGGCGGCAATGGGCTTATCGGGCTACCAAGCTTGGGGCTCGGGAGTAGGCAAAAAAGCATTGCAGAGATCATTCAGGTGGGTTTTTTATGTTCTTCTTTGAAAGCTATTTCAATTTGGTTTAAAAGTTGTCATTCTTGAATCTTGATTGCTTGTTACAATTATCTTGTGTGTTTTCTTGTATGAATTGTTGACAGCTTGCTGTAAATATCAAAAAAGCTCATTATTAGACCGATTTCCTGTGAATATTTGCATTTTCTTGAGCACATTAGTAACTTAAGTAAGCTTATGAATCTTGATGAAGCTGCATATTGCATTCATCTTCTTGTTTGTTTGCACTTTTGAATTTGTTTTAGTTTTCCTTACAAACGTCATTGACTATTGAATGCAGGATGATATAAGTCAGGCTGCATCTGGTTCTAGGCACCCATCCCGTCCAACCAGCCGTAACACATTTGACAACAATGTTGACCTTTCTGATTCTCATTTTGCTCATAGTTACGCTTCGGCTCTGGGTGCATCTATGTCTAGAAGTACCACACCTGACCCTCAGCTCATGGCTAGAGCAGCTAGTCCTCGAATTCCTGCTGTTGGGAGAGGGAGGATTAGTTCTCTGGATAAGAGAAATGTGAGCGGTATTAACGGACCTTCAGATCTAGTGACTGGTTTTTCCGGAATGAGTCTTTCTGCCAACGATATGGTGGATGAAGAGAATCATTTGCAGGCCCGAATTGAAAACACTCCCCAATTGGGGAAAAGTTCATATCCCTATATGGGCAAAGCTGATCTTGGGAACCCATCTTTGTTAGCTGATGCACAAGGGTCGCCGGTGAATTCGTACATGAAAGGGCCCACCAACGGTGCCGGAGGTTCTCCTCAGTACCAGAATCTTGATAGTCCAAGTTCATCTTTTTATGGTGGTTATATGATGAATCCTGCATCACCAACCATGATGGCAAACCAGCTTGGCGGTGTAAATTTGCCGCCTATATTTGACAATGCTGCAATTGCAGCAGCAATGGGTGCCTCCGCCATGGACTCTAGAGCAATGGGTGGTGGGTTTGCTTTAGGACCTAATATGTTAACCGCAGAGCTGCAAAATCTTGGTAGAGTTGGCAATCACAGCCCAAATGGTCTTCAGGTGCCACTTATGGACCCGTTGTATCTTCAAAACTTACGATCAAGTGAATACGCTGCAGCTCTGAATGATGCAACAATCGATAGGGAATTACTGGCGCTTCAGAAAGCTTATCTGGCTGGTTTGCTATCTCCTCAGAAGTCTCCTTACGGTCTTAACCATGGTTACTATGGTAATTCTGCATATGGCCTTGGGATGTCGTATCCCGGAAGCCCATTGGGCAGTCCTCTTCTGCCCAACTCTGCTATTGGATCCGGAAGTCCTGTTAGACACGGTGAACGGAGCTTGCGGTTTCCTTCCGGGATTCGTAACTTAGTTGGAGGTGAAAGCTTTGCATCCTCTTTGCTAGACGAGTTCAAGAGCAATAAAACCAAGTGTTTTGAGCTCTCGGAAATTGCAGGCCATGTTGTTGAATTCAGGTTCATATAGCATTAGCTTTCATAGCCATCATACTTTGCATTAGCTTCTATAACAAGTTAACAAACCATTGTCGTTGCAAGAATCACAAAAGAAACAGTGTGGGTAAGTGGCTTTTGGAACAACTGTAACCTGATTTAATGCATTTAGCTCACAGTAATATTTTGAGAACCTGGAAACTAACTATGTTCTGTTTTATTCATGATGAATAACCTCATGAATATCATGCATTTTCATTATTCACAATATTATGCGTTTTCATCATGAATATCTATCACGACATGCATCATGAGTAAAGCATGAACAGTCGGTTCCTAGGTTCTCAAATTTGAACGTGCCCTAACTTTTATATGCATTAACTCGGGTCAAATGTGGTGCAAAAAAGTTCATTTTTCCACGTACACTGGTTGTTTAAAAGTTAGTGCCAGATATATGCACTCATTCAATAACGTAACTAATAAGTACAATCGAAATGTTCTGTGGGCAGTGCCGATCAATATGGGAGTCGTTTCATCCAACAGAAGCTTGAAACCGCTACAACAGAAGATAAAGACATGGTGTTCCATGAAATTATGCCTCAAGCTCTTTCACTGATGACTGATGTATTCGGTAATTATGTGATCCAGAAGGTACCCAATGCAAAATTGTTTCATGGTTATCACGTGTGTCGGATCAATCATTTCTTACTTTTTATTTTCAATCCATGTAGTTTTTTGAACATGGAAATGCTACTCAAATAAGAGAACTGGCTGACCAGCTCACCGGGCATGTTCTAACGCTTAGTCTTCAGATGTATGGTTGCCGGGTTATCCAAAAGGTAAATCCAAGAGTTGAAGTCATTATACATATGCTAGTTTTGAAGTCATGAGGTTAAACCTTATCTATATATTACGTTAATAAATGTTGTGCAGATTTCATGATGGCCATAAATACGCATCCTAATTCATTATCTTTTCTGTTTCTCTTTTTTTATTTATCTGCCTTGATCGGCAAATGATCAGTTTATCAAAAAATGCTATAATGGTTTCGTTGTCTCTGCATTTATTATACTCCCTCCGCCCCTAAAAATAAATGTCTACAATGAAAAAGGCATACAGTTTGAGAAATGTGTCGGCATACAGTTGGAGTTGCCTTTTGTTTGATGAACTACTTTTGACTTGCTTTCATCTAGGCTATTGAGGTTGTTAACCTTGACCAACAAACAAAAATGGTTGCGGAGCTTGATGGTCATGTTATGCGTTGTGTTCGTGATCAAAATGGGAATCATGTCATCCAAAAGTGTATTGAATGCGTGCCGGAAGATGCTATTCATTTCATCATCTCGACATTTTATGATCAAGTCGTGACGTTATCAACCCATCCCTATGGTTGTCGTGTTATACAGGTGAAAATGAAAAAAGATCTTATTTTTAATATTTGGGTTATTGATACAAGACTTGATTCTAAATTCTTGAAGTATTTCGTGTAAACAGAGAGTCTTGGAGCATTGCTGCAACCCTAAAACGCAAAGCATAGTTATGGATGAAATCTTGAAATCCATTTGCATGCTGGCACAAGATCAATATGGAAATTATGTTGTTCAGGTATGTTGTCGAGATCGATATAATCTATTATTGGAAGAGTTTATAAAGTGATAACCCTGTTAAATCTTTGACCAAATTCATTGATGAATTCAATGCATATGATTTTGCCATTTTTATCGATAAAATTTATAGAAACATAAGGCACATAATGGTTGCTACTAACGCGTGTGTACAAAGTTAAATTCTTTGTCGGTCTCCCTTAAAAATGCTGTATCTGACCTCTGCGTATAGTTTAAGTAAAACGTTTGAATGCTGACTCGAATCAGTGTTCAGTGCTTACAATTATGTTAATAATGATGAGAAATAGGTAATTTTGATTTGGAATCTTTCCAAAAGAGTAATATTACAATATTCATGTCATGGGATGGAACATACCAAAAAAGGAAAGTGTTGCAATTAGGTCATAGGGAGTGTATCTTTCGACATCAGCTAGACACGGACCATCAAACCTGTATACATGTAGGATGCTCTCCTCTCTATGAGGGCTCTTTTTGAACAGAAGATCTAAGGGGTTTCACATGTAATAACAATTTAATTTCCTTTTGATGTCCTGACAGCATGTATTGGAACATGGAAAGCCACACGAGCGAACATCTATTATAGAGCAATTAACCGGGCAGATAGTTCAGATGAGCCAACAAAAGTTTGCCTCCAATGTTGTTGAAAAGTGTCTGACTTTTGGTACCCCGGAGGAACGCCAGATCCTGGTGACGGAGATGCTAGGCACCACCGATGAAAATGAACCCCTTCAGGTTGTTCTGCTAGTTGAGATCAGAATGATGGTGCATTTGAATCTCTTGAAATTCGTCTAATGACTATTTATATTCTCATTTGTGGTTCATTTTGTTATTCAGGTGATGATGAAAGATCAGTTTGCTAATTACGTTGTGCAGAAAGTGCTGGAGACATGTGATGATCAGCAACTCGAGCTGATTCTTAATCGTATTAAGGTTCATCTGAATGCTCTAAAGAAATATACTTACGGAAAGCATATTGTTGCCCGTGTCGAGAAACTTGTTGCTGCTGGAGGTATGCCTTCATTTTTGATCTTTACCTTTTCATTTATTGTTGTTCGAGTTTTGAGGGTCGCAGGTGTTGCTTTTGCATTTAAATGACATATGGAAAACCTTCTAATTGTAGATTAAAGGTGATTAGCACATTGATTGAATTATAGCAAGGTATCATATAAAAAACGAGTAACAAGAACAAGAAAACAAGAAAATCGAGTTAGAAGTCAACAACGTCATAAAAGTAAAAGTAGGTACAAGGAAACATAGCTAGGGGCCACTTTTTCGGAATGAAGTTTAGGGTTTTTTTTAAAGCGCACGAGGGGCTGTTTACTACCTGCTGACCATCTCTGTCTGGGTAAGAGGTGCTTACGTGGTAAGAAGGGGTATTGCTTGCCAACTCTGACCCACAAATATGTTGATCAAGATGCTGACCTGGTAAGGAAGGGATGCTTTCTGACTCGGTTAGTGCTTACCGGGACACTTTGGTAAGCACCTATTTTCAGTCGGCGCTTACCCAGACCCAACCTCTTATTCTGGTTAGGGCTTACCCGATTTGTGTTGGCAAACGGCCGTAGACAATTATTTTGGTACGGAAGGAGTAGTATTTTATCATTGCACTTGTCTCGCCTGGTTTTAACCGTTTATTCGCTTATGCCTTAATGTTTACAATCCTCATTGCTTTTTCTAGTAATTTTGTTTCTATATCTCACTCTCTCCGATGTCTATCCTCGGCACTTCAAATACAAATCACTTTTTGAAAAAGTCTCGTTTTCTCTCTTCTTTGTCCAAACCCTTTAAACAAGCTCGAGTCTTCATGGAAACGAACCTCTCTACCCATATCCTACCCCCGAGACCCTACTTTCGAGTTGGATAAGCTAGGTGCTTTTTCACGTTTCATTTTACTTTTCTGACAAATTATTATGATCTGTTTACAGAAAGGAGGATCGGGACACTGGCCGGATATGCTGCCGCGGCCGCTGCTGCTGCTACTGCTGCTACTGCTACCAATTAGGTATCGGCATCGAGAGAGTTGTACAGCTAACTGAGAGTATGAATGGTTTGTGTTTCTTGGTTCGTTTTAACATCATATCCAGCTGAGTATCTTTTCCAAATAAAAAACGGTTTGTAGCCATGAAAACTTGTACATTGTTAGTTTTTTATATATTATATATATATATATATACCTAGGACTCGAGTCTTTAGCCGAGGCTCAGAGGGTGAAACACACCCGAGGCCGCCCCCGTTGCAGAACCAAGTTAGTGTTTATGTTGTGACTGTACAAATATAGAGCCGGGTGCAGCAGAGCCTTATGGTGTATTTAGGTGTTGCCGGAATTTTCTTTGTGCATGGATTTTATGATTCCGTTTATTTAGTGGAACCTTTGTTTTATTTGACTTTATTCAGATTTGTTGCTAATTTAATCTGTTGTGGGATGATTGATGTGTTTTAAACTGGCCGCCGGTAGCCAACAACCTCCCCGACTGGTGGTGTTTGCTCTGCTCCGGTTGGTATTGTTGCAGTGACGGTGGCGGAAGCCACCGTCAACTTATGTAGGAAGGACATTGGCGACGAACATCACCATCATTTTTTATTCTCTCTTTTGCGTCACGTCAGCTAGTCTTGACAAAATAAAATTTCACTGCTGTTACTGATAATCGCAATATGATTTTTATGCGTTATTGTACAGTAAAATCAAACGTGATTCAACCGTTTTCTGTATAAATATATAAAAATTTATCAGAATAAAATACGAAAAATAAATATGTAATTATTTATTTATGTTCTAAAATTAATTTTAATTTATATGTTTATAATAGCTTGACAATATATATTAATAATTATCATTTTTAATTTTCATGTTGAAGTTATGAATTTATATATTTATCAACTTATTAGAATGGTTATTTTGAAAACTGATGAATATTAAAAGTGATTCTAATCCTTTATACGGTTAAAGATCGGATTTGACTGGTTAAAAATTACAGCTTTGACTGTTCAAAAATTGTGACTATGTGAGAAATAAGCGACAAACAGATTTATATATGAGCCCGTATGATTTGATGTTCTTAAGATATTGTGTTTGAATTTGTTTAACTTAGAAATTTCATATTTTTTGTCTTCGAATTTGTGTTTGATCTTGATGGTGAATGGTGATGTTCCTGTTCCTTGGTGTTCTTAATATGCCTTTCCTTACATGAACAACAAAAATAAAAATAAAAAAAGTAAAATAAAAAATAGTATAGTATATATTATATTTATTAAAAAAAACAAATAAGGGGTATTTTGGTCTTGTAACCCCGTAATTAAATTAATGGATTTTGTTACAGTGAAGGACTCTAACCATAGAAAAATGATAACCATAGGAATCAAATCCATAATTATTTGAGCATAAGAACGTTAACCATAAATTTTTCACATAACATAGGGACGAAATCTGTAATTTATTTTTTTATATTTTTATTATATTAATTAAATAATGATATTTTCAATAAGAAGACATTAAAAATAATACGTATTTTATTTTGTAAATTACACAATTAGAAAAGTTTTATTGATATTTTTAAAATAAGTTAAGTATTTTGAATACGTTTAAATGTTTATGCAATTTATTTGATCGAATGATGAGGAGTGCAACGTGAATATGGGAAGTAGGGGAATCTCGTCTTTCGAGCACTTAGTATTCCTTTACATAATTGTTATCATAGTAAGACATGTTAAAAGTACGTTAAAGCTTGTTAACGTTCATTGTTTTTCATACTAAAATATATTTATCGTCTTTTATTTTGAGGTATATTAGAATTACGTGTTAAACTATTTTATGGTTGTCCAAGTTTATTAGAATCAATTAGAGCTTATTAAAGATCAATATTTTGATGATAATATGGGTTGAGATTGGCATGTTAAGGTATATGTTCCCTTGCACCAATGTCATTAATGTTTATCAAAAACTTATCCGATAAATATTTATCGGTAAAACTCAACACTATTACTTAATGGATAAGATTTTAGTTCACCAAAACAGCACCGCATGCAATAATTTACCCGATAAACTTTTACCGTAGTAAGATTCGTTGCCTTCACTTACCGGGTAAGACTCTTGTTCCTTGTCTCGTTCTTACCGGGTAAGATTATTGGTCCTTGTCATATTCATCCGATAAGATAATGTGATTAGGTAAGCGCGTATCCGGATAAGCAATTGATAAACGGCCCTTCACTTGTATTTTTCTGGTAAATAAATGTTGTCATGTACTCCCAATTCTATATGTATTTTCCCATTTCACTAATCTTAAGTTATTATTATTCATTTAACAATCAATATACTGCAAATATCTCAATTAATTCAAAGATACTTCGGTAAACATTTACTTTTAAAAATAAACACTTGTTACGAAACAAACTCAAATTGTAACGTAGACAGTGGTTTTGGGTCGAAGGAGTGTTTGACAAGATAACAACCTAAAAAATGTTTGAGGATATTCGGGCATGCGATGAACTAGATAGTAGCCTAATGGTTATATACACATCCATCGCCAACGTACGTGCTTACTAGAAACTTACATCGGCGAACCTTAAAAACAGATTTATGCATCATCAGCCGCTAGTAAACAGCCCCTTAGGGCATCTCCAATGGAGGTTAATGGGGAGGATCATAAATGCCATTACATGCATCATGCATTGTGAAGGGAGGTTAATAATGGGAGTTGCATCAAATAGAGTTTCATGGCCATTGTATGCATCATAGCTAAATCAATGGGACCCACTAATTTATTTTTTCTTTTATAATTAAATTTGTAAGGATTTAATTATGATATTATATATATATATATACACTATAATATGATATTTATTAATCAATAAATTAATTTTTATTTTTATTTTTCTTAATTTATAAAAACAACATAATTAATAAAACATTACATTAATTTCAAAATACATTACATTAATAAGATATTACATTAATTTTAAAATACATTACATAAACTACATTTAGATTTAATTYCATGCTTGTGAATAATGTTCCCAAATATGCTCCGTTAAATCATTTCGAAGTGAGTGATGCACCGATGAATCACGTAGTTCAGAGTTCATCTGAATCTAATATTGAATTTCTGCGGTAGGTCCTCGCTGCACACGTATTGGAGGATCAACATCATCATACAAATTAGAGATTGCACTTCCTTCATCCTCTACAATCATATTATGTAATATGATGCATGCATACATTATATATATATATATATATATATGATGTGGAAATCCATTAAACTCATTGGAGTGTTATGGAGTCTGGGTATAAAATGATAGAGTTGTATGATGAATGGAATGCTGATGTGGCAGTCCATGTTAACCAACTTCGAGATAAACGTCCCCTTCCCTGTATCCCACTGACCAACTCTTCACTTTCTGTAATGGTAATGGAGGTGCATAGTTATCAAACTCCACCACAAAACCACCCTTCTCACCACCCTCACATGGCGGAGCTAGAATCTTCGGCAAGGGCACCTCCCCCTCCAAGTATCTAACCACCTGTTTCATACTCGGCCGGAACGACGGCTCATCGCTTGAACACAGTAACCCTAGCTTCAAAACCACCATAACTTCAACCTCATCAAACACACCTTTTAACCGTGAATCCACCACCTCCAGCAACCCCCCTTCTCGCCATTTCTCCCAAATCCAATCCACCAAAAAGAGCTCCTCCGGTGACGCCTTGGGTTCAATGGGTTTCCGCCCACAAACCACCTCTAACAATAGAGCCCCAAAGGCATAAACATCGGAACTCGTGGTGGGCTTGCCGGTTCGAGTTAGCTCAGGAGCCAGGTAACCCAATGTGCCCACCACTTTAGTTGTGCAGGGACTCGAACCATGGTCATATAACTTAGCCAACCCGAAATCGCCTAACCGGCCGTTGAACTCTGAATCTAATAACACATTTCCAGCTTTAATATCTCTATGAAGCACAGTTTGCTCCCATTCTTCATGCAAATACAGCAATCCATTAGATACGTCGTTTATGATCTTAAATCTCTGTTCCCAAGTTAAAATCATTTTGGGGTTGTTGTAGATATACTTATCTAAGCTGCCATTGGCATTGAAATCATATACAAGAAAGAACTCGCATCTTCTTCTACACCAACCCAACAACCGAACCAAATTCCGGTGCCGGAGCCTGCCGATGGTCGAAATTTCCGATATAAATTCCGTCAGCCCCTGTTTTGATTCCTGTGAAATTCGTTTCACTGCGATTTGGGTATTCGAATCTGGTAATATCCCTTTGTAGACTTTACCGGATCCACCAAATCCAAGCAATTCTTTTTCGTGAAACCCCTTTGTAGCTCCCTTCAACTCCTTGTAAGAATATTTATGTGGGCCGACATCAAATTCCCAATCTTCAACCAAATCAATGTTCTTGAGTTTCTTGATAACATAAACAGAAACGACAATCACAGTGATGAAAAGGGCTAAGGATGTAGAGACAGAACACCAAATTCTGAAATCTTTTTGATTCTTTTTGAATGGTGGAAGTGAAAGGAGATGGAGATCCAATGATTCTGCTTTTCCGGTCATGTTAAAGCTCCATCCGAAGATATAATGAGAGCTAGCAAGACGACCTGTTGATGCAGAAAACCCCACGTACATGAAATCTTGAAAAACCGGCGAGAGATCCACCGGAAAAGAGATGATCGGCGTGTTTGGTTTCTTTGGAAACAGGGATAGAGTGATATTCAATTCGGGTTTCGCGGCATCATAATCAATCCAAGCTTGAATCTTTTCGCCACTTTGTATGCAAAGATCTTGCTTTGTTGAATCGCCATCAACAAAAGACCCAGCTCTCGTCGACTTCACCGACGTCATGCGGTTGATGTTAACGCCGACGTGATTATCATCGATATCAGAGAATTCGAAATCTTGAACGGTATCAAACTCCACAGCAAACATGTGGTTAGACGTATTGCCATTGTTGGTGACATTGACGAGTCCGAGGTACTGCGTGGATTGAGCTCCGGCGAGGTCTTTGTTCGGAGAGATAGTAAAAGCGAAACCATGGCCGCCGAGTTTTATGTACTGCGGCACGACGGAGAAGACGAATGATGTGGAGAAGGAAAGAGCAGTTTTGGTAATGGGATTCTTGAAACGAATTGGGTCAGGGTAAAATCCCCGGCCGATCAAGTGAGAGGTGACGTTGGTGAGCTTGAGAATACCGTTGCCAGTGATCTCTGCAACTCCGTTTAAGGTTATGTTGGTGGAATTGAGACCTTTGAACCCATTGAAGATGAAGGAGTGTGAGAAAGACGATGGAACTGATAGAGATAGAAGGAGAAGCAGGTATGGGATCGGTGGGAGCATGATTTGTCGGTCATGGGAGCAGAGAAAAGAGTGAGGATGATGATAAGGTGGTTAATTGATATGGTATTTCAGTTCAATTGTTACACGTTTCTCATCACATCAACGATGTTACATGATGGAATTGGATCATTTGGTAGTCATTTTCTTAAAAATGTTATGAACATATTTAAAAAAAAGAAAAATGTGTTTTTTTTTTCATCAAGTTTGAAACTCATGGCATGTTTGAGATTGCTTATTTAAACTGTTTATTAAATTATTCCGGTTTGATATCGATAATAAGCAGTTTTTAGTGTTTGGATAAGAATTATTTATACCGGTGTCGAACTAGTAATAAAGAGTTTTTGATAGGTTAGGACTTTCTAACTTATCAGATTCAACTTATTAGCTTTGGAAACCAATTTACCTTTTTAACCGTAAACCTAAATTAAGCATCATATTGGAGCGACCTTCACCTGTAAAATCGAAAATAAAAAAAATCCTTCACTTGCAAAATCGAAAACCGACCTTCACTTGCAAAATCGAAAACCGACTTTCACCAAAGGTGTTTCTGATCCCAAACGCCCCTTCATCAACATCTACCTTTACTATTGGCAATCGACCCTCATGGTTTTTGATCGAGGCACAGGGACGATGGAAATCAGGTGTGAAATCGACCTTAACTATTGAGAAGTCGACCTTAACTATTGAGAAGTCGACCTTCACTATTGAGAATTCGACCCTCATGTTTTCTGATCAATGCACAGGGACAATGGAAATCAGGTGAGAAATCGACCTTCATTATTGAAAAATCGACCTTCACTATTGAAATAAGGTATTCATCAATATTTTTCTCTTTGATTCCCATGGCTGTCAAGTTTCATGGTTTTCGACTTCCATGGAGATGGTCCCTGTTTGGTTTGATGCTATAGAAATGGGAAAAATGGAGATGGTCCTTGTTTGGTTCGATTTCATAGAAATTGAAGAAGGGAGAAATGGAGATGGGTTCACAAGGTTTTCTTCTGTTCGATTTCACAAGGTTTTTTTGGTCATTTTACATGTATAAACAAAATTTGTCAAACATTAAAAAACAACTTAACTTGTTCAGTTTTGGTTCGCCATGAGTTATCCAAACACTTTATAAATCTCCAGTTTGACACCACATAAGTTGATAAATACATTTACAAAAAAAAACATAAGTTATTTTAAATAAGCAATCCCAAACACCCCTTAGGTGACATTTGTTTTTTAAGTGGTGTTGAAGTCTGAAATCTTATTTCACTTCTGATTTATAAGAGGTGGTACTGAAGTCTGAAATTTGAATCGATAAAATTATTTGTTTTTGTAAATCGATAAACGTCCGAGTTTGTTTAAGTTTTATATTTTACCCATTAAAAGTTATAGTGCTTAATTTATGGATAAATTTGTACCTACCAATTTCTCATATTTATTCATCATCATTATGAAATTTACATTTAAATTATATAATTAGAATTCATTTAAACAAAAAATTGTTATTAATTGCGTTTAACACATTTAAATCCTATTAAAATACATCAATTGAGAGAGGTGAGGATTGATTTGGTAAGAACCGATCGAGAGAAATGATCGATTAAGGTTAATCGGTTAAGAAATGCTGTTGTTGAAGATTTGAAGAATAATAAAAGACAAATAAGATGTTGGTTTACCTCTTACCAGAAAAGAAGAATGACCCTACCTCTTAACGAATCAGATATAAGAGATGGATAAAAGTTTTTTTTTTTTTAATAAAAACAAACAAGGCCTTAGTCTCATCAACAAGTGTTTATTTTCATAAACCTTTTTCATTTGTAAATTTTGAGAAAAATGTGTTTGTTAAGAAATATAATTCAATACAAATGATCTACTTGATATTACTTAACACATACAACATCAGTTTGTTTTATTCTAACATGATTTGGGTTCGTTATTCAACCAAGTTCTTATTACTTTTACTTAGGAACTGGAATAAGCATATTTAATGATTGTTTGACCTCACTTTAATCAAGGATTTGTCGCTAAAATGCTTAAAGACAGTAGGGTTAAAATCATATTTTAAAATCAATTAGAAGTGACGTTAACATATCAAGATTAAGGATCTTTCTACACTTGTTCCAAGTTCAAGAACATTTCACGACGTTTTCTTTTAGAAACTAATAAACAAACAAAAGTACAACATACGATTTTGCAAGTTGAAGAACTAATCCGACAAAACTCAATCATATGCAGTCTTCGAATGATTTAAATTTATAAAATTAAATACAAAAAAAAATGCATTAACATCGAATAATCCTCACAAGAGGAATAAATCATGAAAAGCCCACACTTTATGATTTATTTATCAAAACATCCAAAAGACCCAAACATAAGCCTTTTTGAGATTTATAAAATCAAATGTACTAAAGATGCAAACTTCATCAAATAATTAACACGATAAATATCAAGAAAAATACTTCAAGGCACCAAAATGGACATTTTTGGCATATATAAAGTTTTCACAAAACAACTTAAAACTCACCTTGCTTGGTTAGGTTAAACTTAAGATTCCAAATCCAAATCCAAATCCTTAGGAGGCGTTTGGTTCGTAGAATGGAATTCGATGGAATTGGAATTCATCAAATGAATTTGACTTTGAAGGAATAGAATGAAATTTGATGGAATTTGATCATGTCTTGTGATTGCGTTTGGTTGCATGGAATTGGAATGAATTTGGATTAGGGAAGGAATATGTCGGAAAGGAATTGAAATCCGAGGGTATTGCCATGGAATGTAAAATCCGTGAGTGAAAGAATTTGGATTATTGGAATTGAAAGGATTCCATCATTTTTATTTCATGAACCAAACATTGTATTTGGAATTTGGTCAAAGGAAGGATTTGGCCATTCCAATTCCTTTCAATTCCATCCAAATCCATGAACCAAAAAGCCCCTTAGCTTCCAAAAAACGGAGATTTCACTATCTTCAAGTCATCCCTAACAAAGATCTAGGGTTTCCGAACAACTCACTTCTTCAAGTCTAGAAATGAACCACAAATGAGCATAAGCTTTAGATTTACAAAGATTTTCATAGTAGAGCTTGAAATATTTCAAAAACTTACCATATCAAGAACTTGAGATCTACCAACGAAAACTGTTCCACTTGATAATCCTTCATTTGATTTCTCATGTAAGGGTTTAATTTTGGTGTTTAAGTGGATCTTGAACTCTATTGTTGGGTTTAGATTTAAGTCGTTGCTCATTGTTTTTCCGAATCATTTCTCAAAGTGATCAATATGTAATTCGAGGGGTATGTCCTTCACAGTTCTATAATATTTGTTTTGTTTAACAAACACACTGAATCCTCTTATGTCTGACCGATTCAGACTTAAGAGGATATGAAGAGCTTTTTTATTAAAAACAAACAGCCCCTAAGATGAGAAATGTTGTTTGTATGATTATCTTGGAATTATTCTAATTTGTTCAGTAATTTTATACCAATTGAACATATTTTTCTGAAAAGTTTTATTAATTGTTCATAATTGGTTGTGAAGCCATCACATATTACTAGAATATCTACATCCATAGAAGGAGGAGTGAAAAATCTCATCGTTGTCTTCTTGGATACATGTTTGAGGCTGACACAAATTAGGAAGAGAAAGAGGAAGAGAAAGAATTTGAAGAATAATCCCGCATTTTGAGGTATTATTGAGGATCCTTGTTTCCACGAACTATATTTATCTGTTTTTTGCAATTATTATTTTTACCCTATTTCTAATTTCAGAAGGTTTTGATTTTTTAATTTCCTTTTTGCTTTGTGGGTTTTATATGATATAGATTCTGTCGTGATTCGCAAACAAGCATTTGGGTTCCGGTGAGGAGAGTTAAATTAAGAAACGTAAGAAGGGATCTCTATACTTGGATGCACATTAGGATAAGATGCACCGAAACAATTAACGTGAGAAACGTAATTCATGGGTGGACGAAAGATTAAAAGTGATAAATTGTAACACTCTAAAATAAGGGAATTTTTAACAATTGTTATATTAGAGACTTACCTAAACCTCATTTTAATATTTTGAATTGATATTCAAAATTATTGAATAAATATGGAAATTATTGGCTATTTTTAGATTGGCTTGAAAATCATATTGTGATTGGAAAAGTTAAGGATGGTATGGAGAGTGAGAAAGGAAATGGAGGCATATATGGAAGGTAAGAGTATTACCTCCATTTTTTTACCAACTAATGACGTAGGGGAAGATGGGGTATATATACTAGTTCTTCCCCATCTCTTGAAAGGGGGATGTTTTCAAGGAAGTAAGGCAAGCGACATAGAGCTTCGAAAGAGGTGGGGACTTGAGAAGCTAGTGCACAACCAAGTGAAKGTACGATATATATCTCTTGTTTAAGCTTGTAACTTTCTTACTAAAATCATAGATTAATGAGTTGGGGGTAGTAGTCTCAAACCTCGTTTTATTCGAAGGTCGTAAGATGCTTCAATTACGAAAATAATGGAGTTTTGAGTTCATGCATATAAATGGCAAATTTAATTAAGAGGTTGATCGAAAATCATGTTTGGAGATATTACATTTTGATAGTGTACGGGGATAAAGTTGGATACAGGCTAATGCCTTCACGGTAACTAAACTAATCAAACGAGAGTAAACGATAAACAAAAAAGGTCTACACCGTTTGAAAATAGCCGACTACGGGTCCGGCTAAAAAGCCATTCGGCCATGTAAAAAAAAGAAACTTAGAAGCATCTGTGCATGGTTTGTGAAGTAGAATACCAAACAAATGGAAAATAGAAAAAGGTGGGGTGGTTGGGAGAGTTCTGGAAAAATATATAAATTCATTTGTAAGATGCAGGAGTTGATGAATATATATATGTATATATATTACACATTGGTATAAATAATTAAAAGAAATCATGGGAAAAATATTTATATAGTATGTGCGTTGGAAATGGTTTCATATCAAAATTTACATATCAAAATTTAAATCGAAAATGAAGGTACATCTCGGTACTTAGAAAGGATTATTACCTGTGTAGGGTTGAGAGTT